GTGTCTAAGAGTATTTTTTTAAACACTGAAAGAAAAAAGAATGGCAGAACCATTAATGGTTGAAAACTTGACAACAGCGCTTTTTATACTTCCGCAGCGGAATCTTGGAGTGCATTCTGCCCGATATTAGCGGATCAATGCTCTATTTATCGCATTTTTCGAGTGCAACAGAAGAAGAACTGACTGGGGCAAACAGTGATAACGGGATTTTGAATATCCAGTTTTACTTTCCAACGATAACAATGTATTGCCAATCTTTTGTACAATTTAACTGTGCTCACTACATCTGTTATTTTTAAATGTTCGAAATCAAATTTTGTTTTTCGCTGAAATTTTTATGTTTCAAAATTTTAATATTATGATAATTTCTGTAATAATATTGATAAATGCATTTGTTGAATCTCTAGATGGCGCAAATGTCCGTCTTGATAAGTTAATAATACACAAATGCGCATTTAATGATAACTTAGTTTTAACTTTTTAATTGATTTAATGATTTAATAATAACAATGATAACACGAATTGAGCAATTCTCTCTCCTCTCCAACCTACCACTATGTAAACAACAATTTAAATAAATTCTATCTTGAGTCGCTAAAAGATTGTAATCATTCCATTCTATCTGCTTATGATTTGAAACAAAGAATGCTATGAAAATACCAATTTCGCACAAATAGACTATTCAATCTATAAGCAACAGATCGAAGAATGAAGTCGGAAATTTGGAGGATCAGAGACAGGTAATGGCTTCTTTTCAATCGGATCCGAATTTTAATGTCATAAAATTTTTTTTAGTATTACGGATAAATCTGGTAATATTTTATTGTAGAAAGTCGGCAAAAATATTTACAACATCCAACAAATTGATGAATCACATTCCTAATTTGATATTATTTTGATATCGCAATTTTGCATTCTCAGCAGTTATGCCTTTGGTTGTTTAAATAAATGAACTGTGATCATCGGTCTTTATCACTAGCACATTTACAGTTTCCCTGATTTCACTTTATCAAGTCCAGAGAGTTTCCCACAAATAGAAACGGTTTCTCCTCCAAAATAAACAATCGTCCATCCTCCATTGTCCCACAATTCATCAATATTGCTGCAATCACTGTGTAGAAATAATTATGCAAATTTATTTCCTCCCTAACAGAAAGAAACCATCGCACGAAATTTGAAAAATTATAAAATAAAAGCTCTCGAGATGATTCATCACTGAGCATTAAGCAATACTAATGAGTCAGTTCTGTAGGAAATGAACATACATTTGTTTACTTTTGTTGTCGCTATTAATCGACCATCTTCCCATAACTCATCAGCTTTATAATCTG